ATATAGTCCTCATAAAAACGCATTTGTTGTTGTTAGGTGCTGGTCAGTTCCCACTCAGGCAGCCCTATGTACAATAGAAGGAAACTCTGCCTAGCTCTGTACCAACCTCATAAGCGTTCCTAATGTGAGCCATTGATGTAGATACTGTGTCAATTCATGTCTTCTTTTTTGCTGATCCTCTACTTTACGAATCATGATGTCCTTTCCCAATGTACATGAGATGAAGATTTGCCATCCTCACTGCTTCAAGACAGATTTGTTTGCTCTTCTAGCAGTCCATGGTATTTCAATATATTTTGCCAGCACCATAGTTCAAATGCATGAATTCTTCATTAATTTTCCCCTTTCATTATCCAGCTTTCACATATGAGGCAATTGAAATTAACATGGCTTGGGTCAGATCCACCTTAGTTCTCAAAGTGACATGCTTGCTCGTTAATACTTCATTCTATCTGTTTAAAAAGTTTTTATTGTGCATTGAGTGACAGTTTACATGGGAGAATATTGTTTTACACTTATCCTATTGCATTGCATTTCACTGCAATGGTTACAATCACCTCCATGCATCATCATTCAAAAGTATTTGTTTAATCTCATGCAACAGATGCACCCAATGCAATAGGTCATCTGAGTTCCTGACTATGGCTTCCATGAGTGTTGATTGTGGATCCAAGTAAAATGAAATCCTTGACAACTTCAATCTTTTGCCACTTATGATGTTGTTTATTGGTCCAGCTGTGGGACTTTTGTTTTCTTTATGTTGAGGTAGAATCCGTATTGAAGGCTACATCCATTGATCTTCATCAGTATGTGCTTCAAGTCCTCTTCATTTTCAGCAAGTAGGATTGTGTCATCTCCATATCACCGGTTGTTAATGAGTCTCCCCTCCAATCCTGATGCTGCATTCTTCCTCAGATAGTCCAGCTTCTTGGATTATTTGCTCAGCATGTACACTGAATAAGCGTGGAGAAAGGCTACAATCCTGACACACAGCTTTCCTGATTTTTACCATGCAGTATACCCTTGCTCTGTCCTAAGGACTGCTTTGTGGTCTCCACACAGGTTCTTCCTGAGCACAATTAAGTGTTCTGGAATTCCCATTCTTTGCAAAGTTATCCATAATTTGTTATGATCCACACAGTTGAATGCCTCTGCATAGTCAATAAAATACAAGTAAATATCTTTTTGGTATTCTCTGCTTTCAACCAAGAACCATCTGATATCAGCAATGATATCCCTTGTTCCATGGCTTCTTCTGAATCCGGCTTAAATTTCTGGCAGCTCCCTGCTGATAGATGTACTGCTGCAATTGTTTTTGAATTATCTTTGGCAAAATTTCACTTGCACATGATATTAATGATATTGACTAATGACTTCCACATTCTACTAGGGTCACCTTTCTTTGGAATGGGCACAAATAGGACTATCTTCCGGTTAGTCAAGTATCTGTCTTCCACATTTCTTGGCATAGACTAGTGAGTGCTTCCAGTGCAGCCTCGGTTTGTTGAACTATTTCTATGTGTAGTCCTTGTTTTCTCTGATGCCTTCAGTGCAGCTTGAACTCCTTCCGTCAGGACCACATGTTCTTGATCATATGCTACCTCTTGAAATGGCTGAACATCACCCAATTCTTTTTTGAGACAGTGACTCTGTGT